GCCTCCCGCCTCTCGGTAGCGCTTCCCTGCGCCTCCCTCCACCCCCAACCTTCTGACAGTTTGCTATCCATGAGGGATCGCCCAGCTCAGCTGATAAGGTCATCATCCGCGCGTACTCCAACGCCAACACTGCAATGAGTGGGAGCGATCCGCTAGCGGACAAATCGAGAAGGTTTGCTATCCTTCGCGGTGTCGCCAGATGGGGGCGGTGAGCCTAGGGGCGGGTGAGCGGGTGGGGGCGCAATTTATGCGAGAATAGACCACACAGACAGAAAATGATATCCTTAAAACCAAGGACGAGTATTTTTGGAAATTTTGTGACGTTGGTTTAAGGCATTTCCATTGTTTTCAATGACATTGAGTTAATCGAAGGAAATTTATACTTTATTTTAACGACATTTGCCTTAAGCTTAAGACAATTTTACATGTACATATTTTTAAGGTAGAAATAGCGTTGAGGCAAGGTATAGGCGGCAGCATAGGCGGCAGCATAAGCAACAGCAGCAATAGGGCTGCGAGTAAATGGCGTGCGGGCTCATCGCCCGTACTGCCCACTGGCCCATTAACCCGGTAATAAGGGGGGGGGGGGGGCTGGCGGCCGGCCCGGAGCGCCCTTTCGACCTCCCTCCCCCATTCCTTGCTGCGCTGCGCCAGCCGGGCGGAGGAGAACGGGGTTCTGGTGCTGGTCATTTATGCAAAACGTCATACCAACTGACGTGAGCAAAACTCAAAATTTTAGATTGAAGGCTTCATTATAATCTTTGAGCGTATACACGTCACATCACGTGGGGTTGGATCGCATGTAAACAGAGGGGTGGGGTGGGGTGAGGAAACAGTGGGGAAATTAAGGGGAAAGTGGGACCGGCGAAAAAGGGGGAGGGGCGAGTGTTTGACGACTCATATTTTGGGGAGAGGAGTACACGCGGAGTACGTAGGGTGGAGTACACCTGGAGTACATTTGGAGTACGTGAAGTACACACCGAGTGAATGAAGTACACACAGAGTGAATGAAGTACACCGGGAGTACATCCGGTGTACATCTGGTGTGCATTTGGAGTACGCGGAAGCGGAGTACACCCGTGCGCCCGGAGTACTACTGTCAGCCCGGGACACGGGAGCACACCAATTGTCGACCCCTCAGGGAGGGACGTGGCTCTGAAGCCCCCGTGTTGTTGTTTACGTCCCGTTGTACAGTACGTCACCGTAGTATAACAAGCAGGCCCGCCCTTCCGCCAAACGAAGTTGCCAGCTCCGCTTCGCTCCGCCGGCAACTCCGTTCGGCAGGGGCCGGGCCTGCTTGGCCTGCCGGCGGCGATGGTCGGGCCTGCGGCCCGACCATTTCTGTCACGCGATTTGCTGAAGAACATGATCAAATGATGTAGCGGGCCTTCGGCCCGCTTAGATGTAACGGTGAAGCACCGTGACTACAACCCACCCTTCTGCTTAGAAAACGTTTTTTGGGGGTGGGGGAAGAGTTTCCTTTCTATTTTGCGGTTTTTAGGCCTTGTCATACAACTTATTTTTCACTATGGCAATTTTTAGCTTATTTTTGTCAAAAAAGACCCTCTAGCGCCTAAACGGTTAGAGATAGAGCAAAACGGACGAAATTTTCGCCCAGAGGGCTCAACTTTGACGAGTTTCCCCTTAGGGGAACATAAAAAAAATTACTTTTTGGAAGAATTTTGGAACCTTGGATACCCCCATTCACACCCTTAGGGGTGGTTGCCAGGATTTGCCGTAGGCGTTTCGTTCTCTAGAAGTGGACCTTAAGATACCCTGAAAATTTCAAGTCTCTAGCACATCTCCTTCTAGTGGAACAGACAGACAGACAGACACACAGACAGACACGAGGTCGATTGCATAAGCCCGCTGGATAGCTTTTTCAAAGCAGAAGGGCGGGCTAAAAAGCGAGAGTGGATCCCCCTGCGCCCCCACCGGGTGGGCCCACCCCGCCCCTCCCGGCCCCGGCGGCCGCCAGAGCGGCGCGGATATCCGCGAGCAGGACAACCAGGCTGTGATGTATGATACGCACAACTAGGAGCGCGCGCGGCTCCTCGCAATCACATGGATGGTGTCGCCCCCCCCCCCCTCCAGCCCCACCCTGTCATCAGGCTGGAGGGCCGCCCGCTCGTGTATGGCGGTATAATGACGCGCCCAGCCCAGGTCCTCCGCGCGGCGCCCCCGCCCGGCGGGCACCCCCGCCGCCCTCGGCTCTCCCTATCTGACCCAGATATTATTATTTTCCTCCCCCCTTGTCGGCCGGGCCGCCGCGGCGCCGCGCGATTCGGCGGGCGGCGCGGCGGGCGCTGCAGTGCGTTCGTCCCGCGGCCGCCCGCGGCGCCACAATGGGCGTAGGCGTCCTCGGGCCACGCATGCGTGCCAGTGCGTGCGGGCGGCGCGGGGGTCCTTCTCGCCTGTTAGCGAGTCCTGCCGGCTGGAGGCAGCCCCCCCCCCCCCCCCATTCTGCCACGGGCCGCCACGGCGCCCGCGGGGAGCTGGGACGGCACTCCGGCGACGCCAGGGCGGCCGAACGGCAGGCTTCCAGGGCTGCAGGGTGCGGCGCGACGGGGAAGGAAAGGAAAGGGGGGGGGGGGCGAGTTCCCAGGCGCCCCCCCACACCCGCCGGGCCTCAGGGCGCGCACACAAAGACACGCGTGTCCACGCACTGCCCGCCGCCGTCTGCGGCCGTGCCCGCAAAGGCAGACAGGCGGGCCGTTTTCCACCGCAACTGTAGGTTTTCAGGGAAAACATGTGACACAAAAAAGTATACAAGCTAAAAACAATACGACAAACCACGCCTAACTTTACTTCGAAAAGTGAAGTTGACAACTACTCTTTAAGTCTCATGATGTATGTTTGTACATTTATATCCTATTTTGGAAAATTTTATTCCTGCGAAAAAGGTATTCCCCGCCTCCTCTTCCGCAAAGGTCTGCTCGGTCTGCTACATTTTCGTTCGTGTAAACATTTCCTGGTGTTGTTGGGCAGTGGACGGACGGTCAAATGATATTAGGCAGGGGAGGCCACCTCTCCTGAAATCATGTGTTCTAACCGATCATGAAATCATTTGTAGTCTGCCAATTTACTTTAGCTTGTACCCTTTTAAAATATCTTCAGAAATCTGCTGAAATAAAAGTCGCCAAAATTAATACACAAAATTGATTGTGTGCCAAGGAATAATGTCGTTCTTTAACTTAAATTGTCGCCCTTTTTGATGTAGGTTTATCCCAAAAGTGCGTCCGTCACGTCACATCTGACGTTACGAAATTACCGGATCGAAAACCTTTGGGCCAAAAGTGGCCTGGCCGTTTGTCAAGGCAAGTCAGAGCGCCTGCTAGGTAGGCAAACATCTTGCCTGTTGTGCATGGATGTACTGCGGAGTGGCCTATCCCGAGACTCGCAGGCGCCGAGCTCTCGTAATTTGCCGAATGATCGGATGAATCTGAGAAAATTGATGTACTTTCTAGACTTAGACTATCCCTAAGAGCAAAGAACAAGAATGGGTCTCTGTTCTCAGTGCAGTGTTAATTATTTTTGGTGAAGTCATGTCGCCGAACGGCGCGCTTAAACGGGGACTCTTAGTGGTGGCGTATTTTTAACTTGCCATATCACCAAAATTATTGATCGGAGGCAGAAGCTTTCGGATCATCCGCAAGGCATCAGCTTCACCTCAACACTATGTAGTTACCAATACAGATATAATCTACCGGCAGGTTTGTGAAATCTTCTGAAATACTATGCGAAAACCTCCAAATCCTGAGAAATTCTTCAATTCATGCAACTGTGCATGTTAATCCATGTAACAATGCATGTGTTCTACCAAAGAAGAGGTGGTGGCCCCCTTGTGTTAGGCTACCTACTAGCATCGGTGTGCTTCGGTTGTGTGCCGTCCAGGCGCGCCTGGGCCTCGCCCGCTCTGCGCTCTGGGTCTGGTACAGTAGAGATGTGATTTTGAGGGGCCTCTCAGCGTTGAGTCACACGGCACTCGTGGATCAAGGCCTGCCCCGGCCTTTCCGGGCGCCGCGACGCTCCGAGACAGATTTAGGAGCTGCGGACGGCGGCGTCGGTCGACAAGGACGTCGCATATACGCGACGCGCCCGGGCCGGCAGCAGTGCTCTGCAAGGCACGGCGAGGCCCGAGGTGAAGCCACCGGAGGTCTGCGGAGAATTTCAAAACGGCGGCAAGCATGGAGGAAACAGCACCGTGCGCATGCACCGACAAAAGCCTTCGGGGCGTGTGTAAGTGCAGGACTCGGCGGGTGCACCGAGGAGCGGAGTCAAACGGAGTAAAACCGAGAATGCGAAACCGGTGTGGAAGCCGAAGCCTCGTCCCGTCGATCCTCCGCCGGGGAAGAGGAGCCGCGCCACGGGACGGCTCTGCATGCGAGCTTGCTCGGCTTGCTCATGCTCCCCCGCTGCGCCCGCTGCGCCAGGCCGTGCCACGCGATGCAGCTACGCCTTCCCGTTGCATTATTTTCATTGCCGATGAACGCCCCCCCCCTTCCCCACCCCCGATCTCACCCTTCTCCTCCACGCCAACGCCCTTGACCCGACTGCTGCCGCTGGACTCGCCGCTGCCGTGGGCCTCGCGCGGCGAGCTCTCCCGAAAGTACCCGAAGGTACCCGAGGGTACCCGAGGCAGGCAGCCGAAGGAACATCGGCACAGCTCCTCCGCCTCAGCTCCGCGGGCGCGGGCTAGCGCTGGCACGACAAGCCTCGCACCGGGCACGCCGCCGCGGCTTTAGCCGTGGTGGTGGGGGCGGCCTACGCCCGGCCCTCTGGCCCTCTCCTCCGCCGCCACACCCTGAGGCCCGTGGGAGCGAGCGAGAGGGGAACAGGGAGGTGGAGGTGGAGGGGGGGGGGCGAGGCGGCGCGGGGTGGTGCGGCGCGAGGCTAGCGCAGCGAGGCTAGCGGGGCTGGCGGGCGGGCCGCGGGCTGGGCGCGTGTTTCGTACGGCCGCGCCTCGACCGCCTCAGTTGCAGCGCGCGCTCCGACCCGACCACTTCGTCGAGTGTGTGTTTGTGTTCTCCGCTACCTCCTCCTCCACCACCACCACCTACAACATGTCCCCCTTCAGCGTCATGGCCCTGTGCCTGGTCGCGCTCGCCGCCCTGCATTCCGGTGAGTACACCCGTGCTTGTAGCAGGGCCAAGAGGGCGTCGTCGTGGACCCCGCGGAGCGACAGGGCGCGCTGTACCCGCGCTGCGCCCCGCCACGCCCCCCAGCCAGGATCACATGGCGCGCTGGCACACCTGCGGCTGCGGGGAGCGCGACGTTGGGCCTGGGCTTGTTCACGGACTCTGGATTGGGATGAGTGCCTACTTGGGCACTGATGAAACTTTCAAGATTCGAGTGTGTGATGAGACGCATAACAGAACAAAGACAATACTGAAAAGAGAAAGGAGAGAGATGAAAAGGAAAAGGAGGGGAGAAAAGGGGGGGGGGTCAAAGTCTTTCCCTTGCAGTGTGCTGCGTGGCGTACGTGATATCCAGTCTGCAAGGCTCGTTTTACGCATACTGCGGTATCGCCGTTGCCCGTGCACCACGGCGCGCCGTTGCGAGTCCCACCAGCATAAGCTGAGCCTCCCCTGTAAGCACTTTGAATGTTTCGGCCAGCGACTCACGGTTAGTCAAGTCGAGCGCTGGCTCTGGAGGGCGGCCGGCCGAGTGACGGCTGGAAACCTCCAGTCGTTAGGGAGTCATTATTGGTGCGTGGTCTGACAGATATCTCGCGGCAGAGAGGCGCGGGGCGGGGCTGCGAGCGCAGCGCCCCCAGGCAGGTCTCTGAGCCAATGCCCCACCGACCGAGACCGCTGCAGCGTGAAATGATGCCCATTCAACGGGAGTTGTTTTACCTTTAAAGAAAAATCTCAATCGCTGATTTTTTCTTCTTCTTCTTCTTCTTCATCATCGTTTTCATCCGGCACTCTGCCTCCGTTACGCAACTCCAGCAACGCTAACGCTGCTATGCCCGGAGCGGCCCGTAGCAGTCCTGCAGCCGCCTACTGCGCGGTTCAGCTGTGGCCCAAAACGGGCATTCAGCTCTCCGCTCTCGCACACCGACCGCGCGGGGCCCAGGACCGGGGCCCATAGGCACGGGGCTTGTTGGGCGTGTTCGGCGCGCGGCTCTCAGCTACGGACCGTACGCTGTCGTGGGCCGATCGCTTTCTAAGGCGATAGGCGGAAATAAGTTGGAATTTTCACCCCATACGTGCCAAAAGTGCGGATTGATATCTGAAGTTATAAACGCGACTATGATTTTCTTGTATTTTCCTGCGGCAGGGCAGCGTGCTAGTGGCTTCGGTCCGCCCCGCCAGGGAGCATGGCACAGCGGTGGCTCTTAGGTTTCACCAGGTTACGGGCTGCTCTTTGCGCAAAGGCGTTGGGCGTAAGGGGGGTGGGG